GTGGGCATCTATAGACATGGTATAATTTTATTTTTTTTTTAGATTTAATTTATTTATTTATTCAAGCACTGGGTATAATCAGAAGCACAGGAGGGTGAGAGAATTCACCAGAGCAGGGAGCAGAGCAGGCAGAAGGACCGAAGTACACTGCTGAGGGGAGCAGCGGGCGGCAGGAGAGGTCTGTGTGCCATGTGGGACCCTTGCCCTGCGGACGGCGATCGAACCGGCGCTGCAGAGGCTGCGGGCAGCCTTGCAACCCAGCGCTCAACCGCTGCGCCACCGGGGAGGCCCAACATGGTAGAACTTTAAAATGAAAAACTGGGGCCTCCCCGGTGGCGCAGCGGTTGAGCGCTGGGTTGTGAAGCTGCCCGCAGCCTCTGCGGCGCCAGTTCGATCCCCGGCTGCTCCCGGCCACCGGAGGAGGGTCCCACATGGCGCGCAGACCTCTCCTGCCGCCTGCTGCTCCCCTCAGCAGTGTACTTCGGTCCTTCTGCCTGCTCTGCTCCCCGCTCTGGTGAATTCTCTTGCCCTCCCGCGCTTCTGACTGTACGCAGTATTTGTATAAATAAATAAATAAATCTTTTTAAAAAAATAAAATAAAATGAAAAACTGGGCCTCCCTGATGGTGTGGGGATTAAAGTATCAATGCTATCAAGCTATCCCCAACCATCACGACATGAGTTCGATCCCCAACCAGGGAGCTAACCCAAACAGCACAGCACACCTCTCCTGTCTCCCTGCTGCTCCCCTCAGTGTATTTCAGTCAATCTGCCTGTTCTATTCCCCACTCTGTCTCTGGTGAATCCTCTCACCCCCCCCCCCCACACACACACCTCTGGCCTATACCCCAGTTCTTCTATGTATAAATGAATAAATAAATCTTTTTAAAAATTTTAAATAAAATTTAAAATTATTATAAGTAGGAAACACTGGGAAAAAACAAGCATCGCTACCCTTTGGTAGATTGTGCCCCCTCAGAACAGATAATAGGTGATCTGAAAAAGGACATCAGCACCCATGCGCAAGAAATGATTATACATGCCACTTTCAGGAAAATCCCAAACTCTGACAAGCAAAAATATTTGAAATGCAGTGCAATAAAACAAGACACAATTCAAGTAACAATAACCCATTCAACTGGGAGATTTGAAACTATTAAAAAAACTTTTGACTTAAAGGGAAACGCAAAACCATAGCTGCAGACTACCTAGAAAACTGCACAAGTAAAGAAAACACTACATATCAAAACATTTAGAACAAAGACAAACTTGTATTCAGAGAAAATTCAATAATCTAAAGCTTTAAATTCCTAATAGGACAGAATGAAATTAAATTAAGCATTCAGTGTAAGTCAGGAGAAAAGAAACAATTGATTACAAGGGAGAGCTGAACAATGAAGAGCCAAAAAGCAATTTAATGAACTGAATACATGTGAGTAAGGCCGAATTAAAAATTAGTTCTTTGAAACAAGAAATAAAATAGATAAACGCTAAGAGATGGTACTTCCACCCTCATTTCATAGACAAGAGCCAAAGCCCAGAGAGGCCAGCTGGCTGGTCCGAGGTCACTGTCAGGGAGCTAGGTAAGGGGTGGCAGAGTCTGAACCTGAACCTAGGTCAGTGGATCAGATATCCAGGCCAGCTCTGGTAGTGTGAGCTGTTTATGAGGGCCAGGCCATGAGCCCCAGAGGATGGCCCCAGGGCTGGCCAAGGGTCCCAGAGGCCCAAGATACAATGCCCAGAGCATCTGGGGCTCTGCCCATACTCCTGAGGTCTCCTGGGGTCGTGGTGCACTAGCAGTGCCAGTCTGGCTGTGGGGGGAGGTGGAATCTGAGTGGACACTGCATCAGGAACTCTTTACTGATAGTGGGCCCTCACCCCTGGGTCTACCCTGAGTGTCCCCAAGTCACAGCCCAGCCTGCGTGGGCTACTTACGGGCACGCCTCACCTACTTACACACACCTGGGCTGAAGCCGGCACAGGACTCTGGCTAGTAGTCCACCTGCAGTCTGCAGGTACTGGCCTCCCCCACTTCTAGATATGCAGTCAATTTAACAAGGAAAAAATGACAGTATCAATGTACAGCTGGGGAGGCAGCTGAACAGATGTGCCAGCCATACACCCCCCTCCCCAAGGTCAAAATTTACAAGGATCTAATAAGTGAAATAATGATATAGGACACAGCCCTATTTCAGTTTTTCCTCCCTTCTCCATCTCCAAATAATAGTAAATAAGCAAGTGAGAAGTGCTTTGCAAATGCCACCAAAATCTGTGTTCTGTACTGTAAAATCTGATTTAGTGGAGAACAGAAATTGGACACGGCATTTGTATTGGATTGTTCCTTCTAACCAGATCAAGGCCGTTTCTGAGGACAGCTGACACGTAAACAGCGACAGGATTGAGGACTGGATGAATCCTTGGGGTCACAGAAAGCAGGAGGCCCCAGCACAGAAGCTAGGGTGGTGTCTGGGAAGGGTCCAGGCCAATGAAGGAGTCTGAGTGACCTGGCCAGGAAAGAAACAACACACTATGCCAGCCTGCAGGCAACCACTCCCCCCAAAACAGGCATGTCTGTTTGAAAAACTTCCATGAGCCAGCTTTGTCATCAGTTACCTTTTTAACTAATGATGTTACTTATATACATTCAGTGCAACAAGTTCAAATGAGGGCCTCCCTGGTGGTGCAGGGTTTAAAGTCTCAGCTCTCGTCAAGCTATCTCCAGCCACTACAGGCCGAGTTCCATCCCCAGTCAGGGAGCTACCCACAAGGCGCAGCAGACCTCTCCTGTCTTCCCGCTGCTCCCCTGAGCAGTGTATTTCAGTCTGTCTGCCTGTTCTGTTCCCCGCTCTGTCTCTGGTGAGTCCCCCACAGCTCTGGCCTATACCCCAGTTCTTGCATGCATAAATAAATCTTTTTTAAAAAAATTCAAATGATAGTGAAGTGTGCAAAAAAGTCAATCCAACTCAACAGGCAACCACCAGTACCTTACGCGGGAGGTAGATTCTCTGCATCTTCTCAGCTTAACAGTGGTTTGTGGTCTTCGAGTTTTATCCTACAAATGTGGGGAGTTAGAATACTGTGCTACAACTTGCTCTCTTCTCTGAATACACCGTGCTCACCTTTCCAATACCCTTACACCCTGGGGCCAGTCTTCCTGCCCTACCTGCCAGCTCTAGGAAGCACATTTGTAATTTGTGTCGTCCAAAGCTCTTAAAAGTAAGAGGGAGAGGTAGGAGATGAGGTCAGGCCTGTGGGTTTGTCACATGGGCTTCTGGGGCCTGCAAGCACCATGCACCCCACTGAACTCTGCCTCCCCCGTCCTCCCACATACACGAAACAGTCCACCTTCCTCCTGCTGTCCTCCTCCTATGGTGGTCCCCACTCTCACCCTGGACAAGGCAGAAAAGCTGCTGCACGGGTGCCTCCGCAGGTGGGAAGAGACTCCAGGGCAACTGGCACTAGGCCACAGGCAAAGGCTCCCTCAGCTGAGGAGAGGCAGGCGGTGGCTAGCCAAACAGTCATTGCGGCTGCCCGGAGGACCCGGGTCACCAGCTGGGGTGGTGCAGATGGAGGCCCTGGGGAGGAACAGGCCAAGGCGACTCTGCACGCCCCTTCCAGACCCCCCAGTGCTGAGCCTCCTTCAACAAGTAGGGTGTTTGCTGGGCTCCTCCCACCTTATCCCTTTGCTCTTTGGTGAAAATAAACAGATACCGGGAGAATGGGGGACACTAAAAGGGGTGAGCTGGTCTAAACATTCAAAAGGAACACACCCCCAGACCCACATGCTGTTTTCTTCTCTGAGCCCAGAGGCCGCAGGCTCCCATCATGAGGGCGGTCACTCACGGACCACCCATCAGGCAGGGCCTGGTCTCAAGAACCAGAAGGGAAACCCCCCCTCCCCAAAAAAGGCTACATGTCCCCAAGAGGCCTGCAAGGAACACCAACCTGTCACTTCAGCAGGGAGAAAGAGGCACTGTTGTTCTCACTGCAAAGACACTAACTTCACTCACTGTTTATAACACCACCGCGCCGCAAAGACCTCGCCCACGCTAACAGAACCCGGACCCAACTCCAAAACCACCCCGGACTGTGCAGCCTCTTTGCCCTAACAAATTCACATCACAGCACCCTCCCCCCAAAACTCCTGTGTCAACACCAAAATAGTTCCCAGGTCTCCAGAGAGCAGCACTAGACAACAGAACCCATTCTTGACCAGTGGCCCCTCAGGATGCACTGTTAGGCGCGGTCCCAGGTGGGCAAAGAATCACAGGGGTCTTTTCTTTCCTAAAAAGACAGGAAAAAAGTCAGGGGATAAAGCTGGGGAGCTGTCTATAAAATAAAATGCCTATTTACAGCCACACCTTCCGCATGCTGACAGTTCCTCAGGGTTCCCGTTCCCATCTGCTGGAAAACAGAACCATTTTCAAGACAGCACTCGTGTGGCGTTCAGGAAGGAATTCCAGGAGGTTTCCTTTTCTTCCTGCACTTCTGGCCCCAGTCTGATTACTGTAATTGATATGGGTTTTTTTAATTTATTATTTATGCATATAAGAACTGGGGTACAGGCCAAGGTGCGGGGGTGGGTGTCATCAGAAACACCTAGAGGATTCACCAGAGACAGAGCGGGGAACAGAACAGGCAGAGCCACTGAAATCCACTGCTGAGGGGAGCAGCGGGCGAGACAGGAGAGGTCTGCTGCGCCATGTGGGTAGCTCCCTAGCCCGGCTGCAGAGAGCTTCAGCCTCATAGGTTGCGTCTTAACCCCTTGCCACCAGGGAGGCCCTGTAATCGTTACATTGTTTTTAAGGTCCAGGTAGACCAGCAAGAGAATGACAAGGTTTCTGGGTTGATGAGGTTGCCTGCACAGTGCTAAATGTCTCACAGTTCTCACCACAATACTAAGAGGCAGGGTCCATGCCCCACTGCAGAGAATGAGCCAGAAGCTCAAAGAGGTAAAGCAAAGGAGCTTTGTTTCAGGTCACCTTGCACCCGTGAACATACCTCTCTCTATTCCTCCAGAGACGGGCGCCCAGAACTCTCCCAGAACAGGCCCAGCACAAGCACAGGGTGGCAGGCAGCTTCTACGTTGCTGCTAGGTGGTACTTCCCTTGGAGAGAGGGAGGGATAGTCCCACAGGAAGGACCTTGGTGAAGTGTCTGAGCTCTGGCAGGCAAAGGCAGGGGCTCTTTGATTTGGGTCTAAATCTTCGGCAAGTAGATCAGAGCTTAGCACACAATTAGAAACACCAACATCTAGTAAACAAACTAGCCCCAAGTGTATAAACCTACCGACTCCAACCCCCCAGCCCCTGAGCGAAGGCTGAAGCCAGGATCCATTAATAGCTACTGTTTATTGAGAGCCTGCTTGCCCTGTGCCAGGTACCTTTATAAACACTTCAGTATATGACCCACTGAGTCCTCCCCCCAAGTCTAGAAGGAAAGGTGTTACTATCACATTTTGCAAAGAGAACAGAGTCCCAGAAATGAATCACTGGCCCAGGTCACCCAAGTCCAAAGTGGTAGAACCTGGATTTGAAGGTGTTGACCTCAAAGCCAGGGGGGGGCTACTCTACCAGAAAAGGAGCAGGAACAGAGAAGGCAAGGCAACCCGAACCCTTGGGGTGAAGCCTCTCTAGGTTCAGGCTAAGAGCACCAGCCAACAGCACCAGCAAGGGCCCAAGGGCCAGAGCACAAGCCAGCCCAATCCAGCCTTCCCTTCTGAAGGCACTCAGGGCACCCGCTCTCCTGCGGTAACCAGAGGGCCTGGAGGTCAAGTGGCTGGGTAGGGGCCTGGGCAGATCTGCACAGGGGCCTCTGTCAGGAGGTGCAACCAGACCTGAGCCCCAAATAAGTTCCACAGCAAGAAAGAGTAACAAAACCCCCAAGGGCTATGAAATACGAGCCTCCAGAGGGGCCCAGTGAGAACTCCAAAGGAAGGCCTCTGAATTGCCTCTGCCAGAATCTACTGTACAAAGCCTGCACAGAAGCCTCTGTGCTAAGGTTTCAGCATCATTTTAGTTGATGCTGAAAATCCAACTCAGACCTGGCTGGCTGGGCCTCTCTACAACCCCTCTGGTCCCCACGCGGCTGTCACGTAACGGGAGGCCCATCCAGCACTGCTGAGATGACAGTCCCACCTAGCAAACCCCACGAGCCTTTCATACTATAGCCGGCCTCCCACAAGGACTGCACAGATTTGGGAAACAATCACCTTGTAGTGACCCCAAAAGGTTATTCCTTTACAAAAGGCCACCGTTCAGAATACTATATGCTGCTGCATCTAAATTGACACAAAACTTGTTGGAAGAGGAGTTTAGCAGACTTCTTACCAAAGTGCCACTCAACTGGAAGAGTTGGCGGTACAGAAACATACAAGTACATACAAATTATGTTGTTAAAGAGAAACCTGGCAGAATTTTACCCAACCTGTGCAATATCCAGAAATTAGAAATATCCCAAATACCCAATAAAAAGTGGCTACAGTCAGGAATATCTACAAAGTAGCCTCTGCAGTGGCTTAAGCAGGTGCTGTAACCCAGGCGAGGAGGTTTGCTTGGTGACAGGGCATCGTGCTTTAACAAGAGTAAGGGTGTGGGTGTGTGTGTACGATGTGCACAGTCTTTTTCTGGAAAGGATCACAAGAAACTTCTGGTAGTGGTTTCCTTTCAGAGAGGCTGGGGAAGAGCTCCTGCCCTTCAACACAGCTTCGATTTTCCAGGTTCTTATTTAAGTCTACTGGGAATACCGGGGCCATGGGATTAAGAGCTATTTTTGTTTTCTTCTTCACACACTTGTGTATCTTCCTAAACTTATTTTTAACGCATTAAAAATGTGGTAGATTTGTGTAGACTAACATGGAAAAACACTCATGACGTATTTTACAATGCAATTTGCAGTTTAAGAAAATAGCATGATCCCTTTTTCCCCCTAAAAACCTAGCCACAAGGGGTCACATGGATGTGTGCACTCAGAGGATAAACACACACAACTGTCAACAGTGGTTACCACCTGGGAAGCTGGAGGAAATGAAGAGCTCTCAGGTTTTTCTTTTCACAATCAGTAGGTCACCTTGCTAAATAATTTTCAATTAGAAAGACTGTCTTCCACATTATGCTTCGGGACAAGTTTCCACCTGCCCAGGACCTCTGACCCGCACGGTCCGTCCAGCCCCATGAGGGGTCACGAGAGCACATGCACAACCGCTCTCCCGCAAACAAACTCTCCTCTGCGGCCCATTCATGTCAACTTAGAAACACATTTTTAATATTCCAGGGCTCCGCATACTATTTTCAAGGTGTGCATATTCAGGGCCTCCCTGGTGGTGCAAGGGGTTAAGCACTGCACTATGAAGCAATCCACAGCCTCTGCAGCATGAGTTCCATCCCCAGCCCAGTCAGCCGAGGAGCAACCCACATGGTGCAGCAGACCTCTCCTATCTCGCCCGCTGCTCCCCTCAGCAGTGTGTTTCAGTCAGTCTGCCTGTTCTGTTCTCCGCTCTGTCTCTGGTGAATCCCCCCCACCCTGCATCTCTGGCCTGTACCCCAGCTGTTGTATGCATAAACAAATAAATCTTTAAAAAAATGTGCATATTCAAGACTGCTAACATTTCCCAGAAGGCCCTCCCTAACCACTGAGCTCCCTAGGCCTCTTACACAGGGTTACCGGAACCCCCGTGCTCATCCTACACTAGCCCTGTGATCTAGCAGTGGATTTCAGTAGATCTACCTGGTCTGCTCCCCACTTTGTCTCTGGTGATCCTCTCACTCCCCACCACCCAGCACTTCTGGCCTACACCCCAGCTCTTCTATGCAAAAATAAAAATCTTAAAGGAATAATTCCTTTTAAAAATGGTTCAAATGGTGAATTCTAAATACATATTACCACAGTAAAATATAATTGTCTAAAAAACTATCCTTAAGTTGTGGAAAAGTGCCATAAAGAAAAGCATTAGGGGCGGCTCCACTGACCCCCATCTCCGGTCTGTGAGGTCCGCTGGGGGTGCAATAAATTTTCCCTTCCTTTGAAAAAAAAAAAAAAAAGAAAGAAAGAAAGAAAAGCATTAGGGAGCCAAGAGCCCCCAGGGCTGATGACAAATTTAGGCTGAGAGTCCCGAAGACTCCTTAAGGCCGCCACCTTCTCCCCACTAGAACATAAGCACCTGAGGCTCACAAGTGGGGTGTCCCCAGGACAGTGTTTATTTTTGCACAGAAGATCTGGAGTCTAGACCAGAGACAGAGTGGGGAGCAGAACAGGCAGAATGACTGAAATACACTGCTGAGGGGAGCAGCGGGGAGACAGGAGAGGTCTGCTGCGCCATGTGGGTCAGCTCCCTGGCCAGGGATCAAACTCAGGCCATACTGGTGACAGCCTGAGACTTAACCCCTAGGCCATCAGGGAGGCCCCAACAAAATGTTTAAATCAAGACACTTGTCTAGACTCACCAGTAAATGGAGCAAAGATGCCCCTCCCCCCCACTCCCAGCCCCACTTGCCAAAGGGCTCAGCCAAGACTGAGACATCCAGAACTTAGTGGCCCATGAAGGAAGCTGCCCTGGGCAGGAGGCTGGAATGGAAAGTGGCAAAGGCTGAGGGAGAAAACCCATCGGGTGCCAAAGGAAGAGAGACCCTGCTCTCTGACCCAAACACAGTTCTGCTGGGAAACCACCAGCGAAGCAGCGACACCTGCATGCACAGCCTCAGAGAAGGGAAATGGAAAATGATCACATAAAGTTCCAGTCATGATCACAGAGAGATCCTGGGTCCATCCGTATAACAGCAATAGTTTGAAAGTCATATTTTCAATAACTTAGGGATATAGTGTAACATGAAAGGAGAAAGTTAACTGTAACATACACACAGGCATAAGGTATTGCTGCAATTTGGAAAAACACACTAGTCTTTACCGTGTCACCTCTGGATGGTGTAGTGAGAGGGGTGACCTTTTCTTACTGTCATCTTTATTCTTTTCAGTATTCTCTAATTTTTTGGTGAAGATGTTACTTTTATGAACGGGAGAAACACTAAAAATGCCCTGTATAAGGCCTGGCAACAGCAGATGCCCACGGACACCTCCTGGAGCAGGCACAGCTTTGTGCAGCTCAGCTCAAGCCACAAAAGCAACAAGTCAGCAACAAGTCAGCGAAGAGCAATGCTCAGCCTGGCTTCCGGCTCTAAGGTAAGTAAGCCTCCTGCCAGGCAGACCCCTCGTGCCCACAGCCCAGTGCTACCCCCACAGCAAGAGGCAGGCCTCTTGCTCCCGGGGAGGTGGCTGGTTCAGAAGGCACCTTCTAACCCTACGAGCCTGTCATGAGCAGCTTTATTTCCCCAGAAGGTCACCATCACTCCCCTCTCTCATCTCCAGCACAACAGGTAGACCCTTTATTTCTTCATCCCCTCAAAAATAAGGCCCAAGCTTCCTAAGGCTATACAAGTTTCAGGGAGAATCTTGAAAAAGAAACAGAATTGCAATTTCAAAGAAGACAGTCAGCCAGCCCTGACTAAAGTCTGCGATTCTGAGCACAAAGCCCAACAGAGCTCTGCCACAATTTCATTTTTCGGGGAGAAATTCACCGCTTGAAAACGCAGCCCTCTCCCACAGCCGCCGCCCTGAACACAATCTGCACGCGGAGCAGTGGAGAAGCCTCATTATCAAATTTAGAAAGACATGGACGGCCCCCCTTGGTCTATTCTGGTTTGAAACAGAAACCACCAGACCTGCTCCTTCTCAACGGTGGCATCATGAGACATGACCGGCGCGCGGCCACTAGCACCGTGAGTCAGTACTCGGTGCAAGGAAAAAAACTTGAAAGTACAATAAAAATAATCCACGAAGAAAAAAGAACTGAAATTTTAAAGGCGTGGGGGATGGTGAACGCGGACAGAAAGGCCAAACACAAAAACCCCCGGGCAATTCCAGGGCGCTGGAATGGGTTCCGACTCGCCATTCCTGAAATTCCACTCTCCCGAGGCTCCCTGGCGCTCCCTCCCCCAGGCCTTTCTTTTTATCCATTTGGATGTGAAAGAAATGGTTGGGAAAACTGGGTGCCCACCGGGGTGGAGACAAGGCCCCTCGGCTGGGCGAGCAGCTGAGGGAACCCAGGGTTACTCAGACACGGAGCCCACGGCTGCTCCGTCTCCTCCCCTCACTACCCAGCCCACAGCCCAGGGTCAGCCAGGCCCAGGCCGGGAGGGGAGCAGAAGGATGCGCAGGAAGCAGTGGGAACTGCAAGGCAACACCGCCCCGCTGAGAAGTCCAGTCCCGCAGCCAGGAGACCACCTGGGTGAGGGTCCAAGGAGGTCTCAAACAACCAAACCAAAGCACGATGGCTGTGGGAAACGCCAGAGCAGCCCGAACTAATTTCCCCCCTGGACCGCGGAACCACTTCAGCCCAAGCAGCGCGGGGCCGGCCCGATGCAAACAAGGGGCAGGTTTGGCCAAGAGGAGACCCAGGCCTCCGCGGCCCTTTCACTAGCCTCAGTCCTTCCGTGGTCGCCAACGAACAGCAGACACCAGGTTTGGCTGAGCCCGGGCGCTGGTGCTTCCAGGCAGGGAAGAGGGAACCCCACTGGGAACAGAGCCTGAGGGGGGAGATGTTACAGTGTCAGCAACCAGGAGAGGGAAAGCAAAAGGCAGGAGTGAGGAGCAAGAAAGCAGAAACATCCCTGAACAACAAAAACAACACACATTTTCATCACCCTCCTAAGGGGGGAAGCGCTTTGCTGTGACTCTGATGTGAGGCTCCCAGGGGCCCCCCCAGGCGCCCAGAGCGGGGCATAATTACTCCCATTTTACAGATGCGGGCGCCGAGGCCCAGGGCCTTGCGTAAGGCAACCTAATGAGGCCCGAAGCCAGCTCGTCAGGCTCCAAGGAACACGCACTTGCCCCAACAAGCAGGAGGCTCCCCAAATAATTATCTGCCATTCCCGACGGGAAGCAGTTGCCCTCAAAAGGCCGCGCTCCCTGAGGCTCCCTTGTTGCTTAGATTCCCGTCTCTTCCACCCGGCGCAGCCTCAAAGGGGGCGGGCACCCCTGCAAGGGCAGAGGCCCACTGAGGCACAAGCCAGGGCTACTCGGCGTGGGGAGCTCCCCTCGCCCATCCTGCCTCCCGGCGGCGGCTCCGAGCGGCCCAGGACCGCGGGTCGCCCCGTCCGCTCCTGGGCGGGCACCTGTGGCAGCGCTGGGCTCGGGGCGGCCCCACAAGTGGTGACTGGCACCCGGGGCTCGCGGGCGTCACCGCAGCAGCCACGGGGAGCCCCGGGGCGCCAGGCGCCCCTCACCATCCCCCCGAGCCTGGGAGGTGGGGGGAGCCATGGCCCCACAAACGCCCCAGGCAGCAGCAGAATCTGCACCCCAAAGCCTGGGCCTCCCACCGCCGCGCCGACGGGGCTCGCGTGGCTCCAGCCGGGTCCACAGACACCCTCCGCGGGGGGGTCACGAGCGCCGGCGGCTGGAAACGTGTGAACCCCCGGAACGCACACGCGCGGGGGGGGGCGGCGGCCTCCGGGGCGTCCACTCAGCCCTTCCGCGGGCAGAGGCCCCACAGGTTTCTCGCCGGCGGCCATTTGGAGAACGACCCGCGGGGGGGCCGCCCCAGCCCCCCGCGCCCCTCCCGTCCAGCTCGCCCCCCCCGGGCCTGGGGGGGCCGGGCCTCCCGGCGTCGGCCAGGGCAGCCCGGCGAAGGGAACCCCCACCCCGCACCCCGGTTCCGCCGGCGGACGCGCCCCCCGGGGCCCGCTCCGGGGGCCGCTCACCCGCGGGGTCACCGAGGAGGAGAAACCCCATCTGGCGGCCCCGGGCGGCGACATCCTGTTTATGCTGAAGCGCCGCGGCCCGCGAGCGCCCCGCGCCGCCCAAACCACCCCCGGGGCCCGCGTCCCCTCGCGGCGCCCGGCCGCAACTTCGGGGCGCTGGGGGGCGCCCGCCCAGCCGGCCCCCCGGAACGGCCCCGCGCGCCCGCCCCGCCCCCCCGGGTCGCAGGAGGCCGGGGTGGGGGCGGCCGGCCCGGCCCGGCAGGTCCAGAGCCCCGCGCGGCCGCGGCGCCGGGACCGGGGGCGGCTGAGGGGGCGGCTGAGGGGGCGGCTGAGGGGCCGGGGCGGCGGCGGGGGGGGGCGGGGGGAGGGGAGGGGAGCCGCCCGCCCGCCCGCCCGCCCGCCCGCCGGGCCCAGGCCGCGCGGCGCCGCCACAACAATGGCGAGCGGGCCCGCCGCCCCCAGGCCGCCCGGCCCCGGCCCCGCCCCGCCCCGCCCCGCCCCGACCCCGGCCCGGGCCCAACGGCGGCGGCGCGGGCGCGCGCGACAAAGGCCGGGCCGGGCCGGGCCGCGCGGTCAGTCAGAGGCCGCCAGACAAAGCCGGGCCGCGCCGCCCCGGCGCCTCCATCTTAGCGCCCGCCGCCCCCGCCCGCGC